GCTCTAGAAACTTCACATATTTAGTTTTAAATAAAAGTCATTTGCATCCTCTCATCTACTGAAGTTTGCAGTTTCCTGGAGCTGATGTTCTCTTAGTTACCTTGGAACCTAAGGCATCCTGGCTCCATTCAAATAATTTAGAGATTATCTTCTATAATGAGATGTACACCTCCAGAAACAGCCTGGCTCCTCATTATGTTGACCATGTCCTGATGTAGAACACAGTACATTTTCCAATAATTAAAAATAATGACACTATGCATATTTTTCCAGCTTATGGAGCAGTCTTAATAGCAGACAATTTTATTGTTCTAAATCATTTGATAATGGTTTTCTACAGTACAGTCACCTCTGGCTACATAGTTGTCTACACTGTCTTGCTTCTTCTCAAGAGTTGTTTTGCTGATTTCTGTTCCCTTTAGTTTTGTTTCTTGCACCCCTCCAGATGATTCTTAGAAATCCAAGTTCAGGCATCTTCAGCTTCACAGTCCTCTGCTTTAATTCTGATGATGTCATGTGATTTTCCTGAAGAAAACTGATTATCAACTTCTTGAATTCCACAAAAGCCCTGCAGAGACACCTATCTGCACTCTTCCTCATATATATATATATATATATATATATATATATATATATATGCTATCATAAGTTCAATAAGCCAGCCATATTTTAATAGAATTTTAATTATTAATATGTACTTTATTACCATTATTGTTGGCTAAAAATTTTGGTTAAATGATGTGTCCGTGAATATATACAGCTTTTTGTACTGCTTTTTCTCTGTACATCCCGTTTGATATTTTAAATATTTTCATATATCTGCTATGTTATATAACTAATAATTGTGTCTCCAATAGTTCTTTTCTCTAAAATACCTTTAATTTTTTTTCAATTTGACACTTTTAAATTATGTTAATACAATTTTCTTTCTTATTTGGCATTTTCTAAAATATAATCCTATATTTGTCAGATACTTATGTTGTATTTCATGTGTTCCTCCAATATCTCTTTGTCACAGAAATCATTTCAGCGACCCTTTATAGTTGAGGCCACAATTTAAATAAAAGCCATTAAAAAACAAATGTGGAATGCTATGTCCGACCTCTCTTCTCTATGCCATTCTGTCGTTTCCATTCTCTCTACTGTATTTGCATCTCCTTTAAATCCGGGACTATGCTGCCCTAACACCTGCATTGTACCAATCACTGTTTTGAGTATTCATAAAATACTCTCACCAACTTTGAATATATTCACTGAAAACTGGGAGACAGCATGTAGAAGATGGATGTTCTCAATATTATGCATAAGCTGGAGTGGAAATACTGGGCTACCTCTGTTTCCAAGCAAACACCTGCCATACGACCTGGAATGTGATCTACTTACAGACAATGTTTGTGTACATCCTGAAAGAAGGCTTCCTTTTTATTATAAGCCTTATCATAACTATGTAAGAATACATCTGGTGCTGTGACCTGCAAGAAATTTCCTGAAAGGCAATTTCCCGAGACGCTAAATGTTACCTCTGTTCTACTTTTCAGGCCTTTTGCTATTCCTGCTGGAATCTTATGAGTCAGTTCTCGACATATTTATCTTCCCATAATTCTGTTCTCTGCAAGGGAATTTTGAGCGTTCTTGATAAGTCATAAAACATGGATGTGTGATCCAAGTGTTAAGATCCAAAAACCCTAGGAAATATTCACTTATTTAAACTCTTGTTCTGGCTGTTAGCTGTATTGGGCATGGGAAAATTAGAGAGGAACTAACTCTAATTCTCCCCTGCCCAATATAGCTAACAGATCTAGAAACAGATTTTAAAAGTCTGCAAGGTCATTCTATGCTAGATATGTTTCTTGCTATGGTTCTTAAAGAAGAGGTACTTTTTGTTAAAATCATTTATTTTTACTCCATTTATCACAATTTTTTCAGAACAAATCAAAATTTTCAACTAAAATAAAAAGGTGTACAGACTTTTCTTCTCTTTTAGGTTCAAATTTCATTTGAAATACCAAATCTTACGGAAGAGATGCCCACTACCGAGAGAGTGACACTCACAAAACACTTCTATATTTTCCCAGGATATTAAGATGTATAAGTTGTATCAATATCTGTGTGTAGGACTGTGATGTGTAGAGAAAGGAAGAAGGAATTGGGGACAGAGTACTGGGAATCCATCATCCTCTGGTAATATGAAGGGAGGCTACTGAAAGCCTATCTCTTTTTCTATTTAGTTCAGAGTACATCATTTTTATAGTTCTGCAGAGATGTCTGGGTATTCCTTAGGGAAGAACACTGTAAATCAGAAGGTATTCATAATATTTTCAAAACTCACTTTAGGAGAACCTCAGTAGTAGAACATTTAAATCCAGCATGGGTTCTTCATTTTTGTATTTGTGTTCCCATTAGTAAAGAAAGATTACCGCTTGCATATATTTTAGCAAAACTTTTACTGTTGGACACCAGGAATTCTAGTTTTCTGTGCCAGTGTTTAGGTTCATGTCTCATGGAAAAAGGCATTTCCTTTAAAAATATAATAAATCTGAAATAAAAATGAAAGACTGTTCTGGGTTTATTTTTGTTGTTTGTTTGTCCTGAGATTACAGGAGATGCAACATAGAGAACTAATATATTTAAACCAAACGAAACCTGTAAGACTGGGACTGCTAATGACAGTACTATTTTGATTTTTAAAATATTATTTGCTAGGCTTTCTGCTTTAGGAATATGGATTTAAAGTAGGTACAGTCACAGAAGTTACTTGATTTGAGGGACAAGGAAAAGAGAAGCAGTTATGACAGCAATGGCAGAGTGTTAAATGACATCCTAGAACTCAGAGTTTACTGTGGACAAAGTTATGAACCTACATGTTTCTAAAGTTCATTAACATGTTTGAGGGAAGCCAAGTAAATTTTGATTCAATATGAGGCTCCTAGTAGCTTGCAATAGTTCGTGTGTGTGTGTGTGTGTGTGTGTGTGTGTGTGTTGTATTAATGGGTTTTTCAACTTTTTGATTTTTTATTTTAAAGAGAATATAAAACCACTAAAAAGATACAGACTTTCAAAATAACATGAAAAATTAACAATGATTATTTTATTGCATCTTTAAAATAGTTGCTCAGATTATCAGATATAGGCACCCACAATTCATCAAACAATACAAGCACTAACTGTTCCTTTTAATGAACTAATTGAATAGCATAATTATCTTAGTTATCCTGTTTATGTGTATATTATTTCCCCCTCCTTGATTTCTTCTTTCCCCTATCACTGATGTTCTTTAGTTTCAGCAGTTTCTTTAGGTTTCACACTGTCTACTGTACTTTTCTGTTCCTAGTTTTTCAGTTTCATACACTAGGGAGACAATATGATACTTACACATGTGAGTCTGATTTATTTCACTTATAAGTATGGTCTGTAGTTACATTCATTTACATATAAATATCTCCAGCTTATCCTTAGTTATGGCTGAGCAGCACTGCATTGTATGAAATTACCACATCTTTTATTTTTTAAAGAAAAAAAAGCAAACAAAATAAAACAGAATAAAGCCAATCAAAACAAAATGGTTAAAGTGATAGAGAGCTTTAAAACAGTATGATATAAACTCAATAATTGCTACCATAATGCCTGTTGTCTTAAAAATTGCTACCCATATCATGAAACATAATAAAATGAAATGAAACAGAATAGATTTAAACCAAATATTTTATAAAACAAAACAATAAAATGGAACAAAACAGAAAAATGAGAACAAGATTGGATTTAAAAGACAAGACAGAATAAAATCCCCTGTATTTGCTATACTGCATATTGTTATCCTCTAAACAGATGCTCAGACAACTGGCTTTAGGTCTGCAAAATCAATCAAACAATACAAGCATTAAATTACTTTTGTACCTGAGTTGCTCTCAACTCAGTACGCATTCTTCTGAATCAGCCAGTTGCTTGGCTGGGGGGCTTGGCTCTGCTAGTCTTCCAGCCCATGAGCGGACAGGCTCACAGAAAGGGCACTTCCTATTTCTCTTCCATCCTACAGTTACTGTGGCGGCTCATGGAAAGAGTAAATTCACTTCCTGTTTCCCCTTCTGGCCCACAGCTACTGCTGGCTTACAAAAGGGCAAACTGTCTTCCTTTTTCTCCTCCCAGTCCATGACTGCTACCACATCTTTTTTATTCATTTAAGGGTAAATGGGCACTTGGTTTGTTTCCAAGATTTACCTATCACAAATTGTGTTACTATAAACATGTGTACACATATATTGCTGTGGCATGATGTTTTCAATTCTTCTGGAAAAATAGTCAGAAAGGGTATAGTTGGGCCTACTGAGAAAATAAACAGTCAACAAACATGACACAATCACTATACATATGATACTATGAATATCCTAGAGTGTAGTGTGAAGTCCTTGTATGAAGAAGGAAAAATAAATTGTGGGCTAAAATCCACTAAGCTGGAGGAATTCCAGCTTCACTTGTAAGAATGACCCTCTCTGCTCCTAAAGTTTTTTAAAGTGAAAGTGGATTTAAAAAACCTCCCAAGTTAACAGCTTTTTTTCCTTTTTACTGGTTGTTTTGGGCAGATATCTTTTGTGTGATCATTCCTTCTACTGTAGACTAAAACTGATCCTATGAACAATTCTGGTCTACAATTCAACAGGCAAATATCCAGAACAGAACTGTCACTTTCAGAAAAAAAAAAAAAAAAAAAAAAAAAAAAAAGACCTTACATTGATCTTGGGCAGTTAAAGAAAATCATTTGGGGGAGGAGTAAGTAAAAAATTCCCTAGAACTCTGCAGTAAAAGATTAAAATGAAACAGAGAGGTGCAAGACACAATCAGCACAATTTAAACAGAAGACAGAAGCCACCTGGTTAATTCTTACTGGAAAATGGAAAGACACTCATTATATTAATATTTTTAATAAGTAGAGGGGGAGAAACGAAAGAGTAAAAGAGAAGGCAGGATGAGGAGGAGTTCTGTGAGCCCCGGACAGAGCAAAGGAGCAGGAGGAACACAGGAGTCAGAGGAGTCAGCCCCTAGGACAGTGTTTATCACTTCTAGTTTTTAAACTTTCCTTTCCAAAGGAAGATATTAGAGTCCAGGACCAAGATTCCACTGTTACAGCTGCAGGGGACTTCCAAACAAGGAAACTGAAGTTCTGAGCAGCAGTTTCACAGCCTGTGATCGTCCCCACCCCTGCACTTAGGAAACAGGCAGCAAGTTCCATTTTCCAGTGTGAGGCCCTCTCAGCCCAACTGCCAGGGAAGAGACTGAGGCGGCTACCCATGGCGGGTGAGTTTGGGTCCCTTCCTGTAAAAGGATTTATTTACTGCCCTGTGATAGGCAGAAATAAGAAAGGGAAGCGAGCCAGGAGTGTTTAAGTAGAATTTTCCGCTTTCTTTCTGTGTGTAATTAGAACCACAGGGTGTGGAGTTAGAGACAACTGAAAAGAAGCAAGACTCCATATCTTTTTAAGCCAGGAAGGAGTTTTTCAGTGCAAAGGTTAAAATACTGAGTGGAACAACTCTTGAAGTCTCTAAATTCACTCTGAAATCTTATCTACTTCTTTTGATTCTGAATTTGCCATTCAGGTCATAAGAAACAGAACAGATCAGAGAATCTTCAGTGCACACCCTTTCCCTATCCATTATATTGAATCATATACTTGGTCTGTTTAATGTAACTCCAAATTCCCTGCCTCTGTAGCCCCTAATAAAGAATTCTCTGATTGCTATCAGGGTTTCTCTCTCTCTCTCTGTCTCCCCCACCCCTCTTCCTCTGACTTAACTCATCAATCAGTCCTGCACCCTACTCTCACCTGTTTTATACACAAAAACTTCATCATTGGAACTGTTCAATCAAAGTAACTAACACTGCTAAACATTGTTAAGACATAAGTCATGTCTAAATTTTATATATTTGACATTATATTCATTTATTCCTATATTAGATCAAAAGATACAATAGAGAATTATTGAACATTTCCTGAATTTAGAAGTAATTCAGATCTAGTTCATGGCTACTAAAATCGCAGGTGTACAATCTCATAACGGGATAGTGGTAAATAGTTTGGAAATCACAGTTATAGGAGATCTGAAAGATAAGCAATGGAACCACAGGAAAAAAAGAGCAAGTTTGGGAATTGGAGATGCAGAAATCTCTCAGTAGTATTTTTGGTAAATCACAAAAAGACAACATGTTTAAAATTTAATGTAAGATGTGGATTTACTATCAGAAAGTAAGTCTGAATGAGAAAGTTTAGATTAGATTAGACTAAGAGATTTTATTGTTAAATCTTGATATTGGAAAATTCATTCTTTTTCATTGTGAGGAATACATAAGAGGGAATAAGTGTAGACTTATAAATATCTTGGAATAACTAAGAAATGAAAGATGTTGGTGTGAACAAGAGAAATGAAGAGCTAGAATTGGTAGAAGTATTTGGTAAGATCCAGCAAACATTTAGAAAATGAAATAAAAACATTATGAATTGAGACTAAAAATGAAATATAAGTAAGGAAGAAGAGATGGAAAGTCATGAGATTTTGTTGATTTCTTATTATTTACTAGTAAGAAAATAGAAGTATTAAAATGAGTTAAATCTAAACATTTTTTAAAATACCTTATTGGCAATTGAATATATAATTCTCAGTATTGATATCCACATCTAGGATGAATTTTGTTTTCTTTGTAAAATCTCTCCCTAATTTAACCCACACCATCACTAGAACCTGCTAAGTTCCGTTCTATTTTATATTTTTTATGAATATTACTTTTTAGAATTCAACATATAAGTGGCATTGCATTTTCCTTGAATTTCAAAGCATAATCTAGTTCAACATAGATTAACATAAGTCCTCTTGTTCTATTTATGCTTTTTTTACTAATTAATGAAATTTATTTAAAATAGATAAATAGTATTCCACTTTTGTTGCTCATTCACTTGTCCACAGATGCTTCTTCATTGCTGTGAATTCAGAGAATATTCAAGTGCAGCTGTCATTTCGACATCATTCACTGATATTTCCATATGGTTGGACACAAGGCTCGTAGTGGGTTTGAGAGTTTATTATTTTTAATGAATCTCTTACTGTTTTTCATAGCAACAGTATTAATTCAGCTTTTAAACAAGAACATGCTTGGATTTCTTTTTATCCACATCCTCTCATAATAAACCTTCTGACAGGTGTAGGGAAATGTTTCATTGTGGTTTTAATTTGCATTTCCTTGATCCCAGGGAATGTTAAGTATTTTCATGTGGTCAGTCACGTGGTTTTCATATGTCTGGTCTTTGTATATCTTCTTTAAAAACTGTCCATTTAACTTGTTTTGAAGTCCTGTAATACTCCCACGATCTGGTTTTGACTGATTAGAATCTGTTCCATTCTGTATGATAGTATCAAGTTTGAGGGTATAGGCAACTACTTTGAAGGCAATAAGATTCACTAAGACGCCCATGCTGGTTTGACTATTGTCTCCTTTGGACGTCCTGTAATGTTTACAATGCCTAAGTTTTATTGGTATTGTTCTCTACTGTTTTGTTCAACTTTATAATATCTAATGAGATAGACAATTCTTTTTAAGGGAACAAGAGACATCGTTGATAACCATTGTTGATAACCTTGTACTCTGTTTTACATCATGTGCTATGTCTATCCTTGGTTTTGACTGACAGCTTTGTTTTGCCATATTTGACTTTATTCTCTCCCCCCAAAAAGTAATAAGAACTAAGGAGTAATAAAACCCAAAATGTGTAAATTTTGTTGTAAAAAAGAGAGGGAAAAAAAGAGCTCTAAAGGATACAACAGCAAGTGTGTTTAGGGGTGTTAAATAGCTGACCATATTAATGTTTTTGGTTGGATCATTGAACACAACTGTTTGCAGTCTCACTGTTTGAATGTCCACTTTGTATTCTTTGATACTGTGATTTGAGCAACTATTTCTAAGATGATAATATGTAATCTATTAACTGGTGATTTCTTACTGTCTTTTTTTTTTTTTTTTTTTTTTTTTTTTGTAGTTCTGTATTACTTGTACCCTTACACTGCTTTGTTTTGTTCTGTGTTTTTCTCTTTTTCCTTTTAAATAAAATTTTAAAAAAAAATGTCCATTTGAGACATTTGTCCATTTTAAATCAGTTTACTTTTTTTCTTATTAGTGGGAGTTTGTTATTTTTTTATATTATTGCCTTTTCAATTGTGTGATTAACAAGCATTTTTATTCTCATTGTGTAAATTCTGTCTTTACTCTGTTGATTAGTTGCTGTGTAAAAGCTTTTGAGTTAAGTCCCATTGTTTATATTCACTTATAAGCCTGTGGTTTGGGGATCATATCCATTGAATCTCTACCTAAAGCAATATAAATGGATTTCCTATTATGTCTTCTTTTACAGCTTCAAAATTTCTAAACATATATTAAAATGTTTAACCCCCGTGTAGCTAATATTTTGGTTTGACATAAAATAATGTTCTAACTTGAGTATTCTGTATCTTGATATGGGTTTTCTTAAAGTCATTTAGTTGTTCTTTACTCATTCGATATAAATTATCTTGTAGGAAATCAATTATCTGTAAATTCTTGGGTTTATTTCTATGTTTTCACCCGTTTCATTGATTTGTGTGTATGATTTTATACTAGTGCTGTGCTGTTTTGATTATTTTATCTATGTAGCATATTTTAAAATCAGATAATGTAATACCTGAAACTTTAGTCTCTTTTCTTTGGCTATTTCATGTGAATTTCAATTTTTCTATTTCTGTAAAAATGTAAATTGCAAATTTGATAGAAATTCCACTGAATGTGTAATTACTTTTGTACAACAGATATGTTAACAATCTTAAGTCTTCTGAGTCATAAAACACAAAATATCTATTTATATATATTCCATTTATCTCATTAACATCTTGTAGATTTAAGTATATATGTATATATAATTTAATTCAGTGCTTAAATTTACTCATAAATATTTTACTCTTGATAGTTATTTTAAGTGATTTTTTTCAGAGAATGATGCTAGTCAATAAGAAATCTAATTTTTTGTCAACTTTGCATACTGTAAATTACTGAATTGTTTATTAATTCTAATAGAATTTTGGCAGGATTTTCTGCATTTTCTATATATAAAATTTGTAGTCTTCAAATTTGGACAAGTAAACTTCTTTCTAATATGGATGTCTTTTATTTCTTCCTTTTTTTTTTTTTTTTTTTACTTAATTTCTCTAGATAGGACTTCCAGTACTATGTTCATAGAAGATGGTCAAACTGAACTCCCTTGTAGTGTTTCTCACTTCAGAAAAAAAAAATCTTCCAAGTATAGACCATTAAATATGATGTCATTGTTTATCGTATTTGCCATTACTGTGTTTTTGGCTTCTTTAGTTTATCATGTATTGTGTTACTTCTCGAGTCTTTCATTCAGTCAGCATTTTGCCACTTTTTGAGCATACAAACAAATGAATTAAAAACCGAGAATCTAGGCAGAGTGCTCATTTCACACAGCAACCTGGGTGCTCCATGAAACTCTTTCAACATCTGTACACTATTCTGACTTTATTGCAACTGTGATCCAATTCTGTTTCAACATCCATACTCTGTATTCAAGATCAGTTCTCCACTACCTCTTTGTTGAAGTCCATGTGATCTTACCATCTGGAACTGACTGGTCTTTTCTTGAGTCCCTGAAATATCTTGTTTTCTTATAAGTAGCTGTTCCACAAATGTCATTTAATTTCATGACTATTACCATCATCTTTTCACAAAAGTTTGATCAATTACTCAGTCAACTTCTGTGATGTTAAAGAAATATTTCATAAAACTTTTTTGCTACTGCAGGGAGAATATTCTTGTAAAATACTTGGCTTAACAGAGGAGTATTAACTATTGTTACTGAAGTAGTGTCATAGTTGACTATATTGACTATGGTGGAATAACACAATTCCTAATTCAGAAAAGTTATAATTGAACTGATATGCTACTCATTATTTTACTATAATTTCACTTTTTAAAAATATAAGGTAACTATATCACTGTCATTTAATTGGGACGATGACATAACATTAGCAAAAAGCAGTACAGATGCATAAAGTTATAATTTTTTACCCTACTTTTGATATATTTCTTTTTAATTATAAAGTGCATTGTAAGCATAAACTTTTTGGATTAATTGATATTAATTGATATTAACATTTATCTTATTGTATAACATCCATGTATATTTCTATTAATTGTTCATTAATAAATGTTAACTGAAAGAATAACCCCAGATAGCATAGATTATGCGATGAGAATTTTGGAACAAAGTTATTTTTATTTATTTTTTTCTTAATTCAGTTTTATTGATATATTTTACGTACACATAATGATCACATTCATTATAAGGAACTTGAATCTGTACATGATATGCCTTGATTCTTTTTTTTTCCCATTTCCCTCCCTTCTGTTCAATTTCTCTTCCCCTCATTGCTTATAAAAGCTTTGTTTCCGTTTCTTATTTTCCTCAGATTTTTTCTTTTTGTTTCCTTTATACCCCTCCTTCTTAAACATCTCATTTGACAGTGTTCTTTTCCAGTTTTATAGCACATTTTATTTAGATAATCTCATTTTCTATCATACATATCTGGGCATTTAGAAGGCTTTGGTAACTATTGCTATAAAATTTAAAATAGATATAGTGTTTTCCATATATTACTGTGTATATGTATAAGTGTGCAACATAGATAACTATACTAATTCTATATTAGTTAATCAAAAAACATAGTTTGTGCTGTTATTGCTTGATTGATCATTTTTCATGCCTCGATCTCATAATTTGAACTACTTCTAAGACCACAGTATGCAATTTATCAACTAGTATTGATTTCTTATTTTTAAAAAAAATTCTGTTATTTTTGTTACTTTTTCTGCTTTGCTTTTTAGAATAAAAATAGAAGAAAGAAAGAATTTTAAAATAGAGCCAGAGACCTCTGCAGCCAGGGAGATTAATGGTGGCCACGCCCTCTTGAAATGCTGGTGGGATCATCTGTCACCACTCCTCCTTCACTCCAGAGACCACGGGGTCCAGTGGGATCACAGATCACCATTCCCTCTTCACCCAGAGACCTCAGAGACCAGCAGGATTGTGGGTCTCCACAGCCAATGGACAATCAGTGACTTTTCCCACCTTGGCAGGTTGGTGGAAGTCCTAAAAACCCCTCATCCATGCAGAGGACCTCAATGAGCCTATGACAGTGTGGTGAGTATCCCCCTCAAATAGAGGACCACAGTGGGATGAAAAGGAGCAGTAAAAAACTCTCCGATGGGACCTTGGCAAGTATAGTAAGCTTGTGGGTGAGTCCTTTTTCCATATAAACAACACCGGCTTGCATAAGAAGAGCCCTGACAAGGCCACCCTAACCCAAAATAACTTAAAAGGGCCTAACAGACAAGTGATACAGGAGGGTCCTAGCTGAGGTGTACACAATAGCCAAGTAAACCTGGAAGCCTGGAGCAACCTAAAGTTGAAGTAACAATGGGACCTAAAGGTTAGTTTGCATTAATACTCCTGGGCTAGTCAAATTAGGAACAATACAGGACTCACCTAATAGACCCATCAGGAGCAATTCATGTGACTGGCCCCTCTCCTTCACTGTGGGATCCAGCAATTGAACAAACATCAGCCATACAGCAGGAAACTAATACACAAACAATGGTCATTTGAGACTAGTGGGATTGAAAAGACCAAAATATTAACCCAAGAGGTGAAAATGACAAAACAAAAAATTAAAATCCAATTTCAAATATGGGAATTCTGCAAGCAAAGACAAAATAAAGGGATACACACAATAGGATCAGCAAAATGACTGCTGCTGGACTATCTTTAAAAAGCAGCTCTTATTGAGATAAAGAACAAAGACACTCAAATTGTACATGCTTAGATTATATAACTTGTTTGCTTCTTGTCCTCATAGGATCTCATGTTTTTACATTGAGGTGGGGAATGTTTCAAGGCCTGTACTTTCTACAAAAACATCATCAGCCAGATGTGTCCAGGAAAAAATTGACTCAATGTGGCCTCTGTACACTCAAATGTCCAGTTCATCAAGAATAGGTACAGAAAACATTAAAATATGGGATAGGGATAAAGAATAAGTAAAGAACATTAGAAAATGGTAGAAACCTTGCATGAACAATGTAGAAAACAATTACAATACATGAAACAAATTCAGAGAGATGTTCAGGAAATAAGAAACTAAATTGAAAGGTGGCAAAATCATTTGAATGAACCTGAAGATAGACTTTTGGATCATGAAGACAAGATTGCAGCTAACAATCATGAAAGGAAAAAAGTTTTAAAAATAACAAGGCAGCATGAAACAAAAATTCAATAGCTTCAAGACAAGGCAAAGAGAAGCAATATAAGTCTTGCAGGCATAAATGAAAATTCAGGATTTGATGCACATGACATAAAAAACTATTCACAGAAGAAATAGTAGAAGATTATACAAATATGGTAATAGAAACAGATATAAAGATAAGTGAGCTATATAGGATACCAAACAGTCATAACAAAAGTAAATCTATACCCAGACATATAATAATTAAGATTCCAGAAATTCAGCATAAAAACAGAATACTAAAAGCTGTTAGAGAAAAAAGCATAACTCACCTATCAAGTGAAGCCCATTAGAATCATGGCAGGTTTTTCAGCATAACCCCTCAAATCAAGACAAGCTTGAAGTACTTCAAGTCCTGACAAAAAAGTACTTTCAACCAAGACTGATGTATCCTGGAAATCTTTCTTTCAAAATTGATGAGAAACAAGATACATGACAAAGAACAACTGAAGAAATTCATGTCCACCAAGCCAACCCTAGAAAAAATACTGATAGACAGAGACTAAAATGACTACAACTCATAGAACAACAACAGAAAGGGCAAGGAATTAAACAAGGGAGCAAAGCAAAAAACCAACAGCTGGAAAATAGCATGACAAAGTTAGGACAGTACATGTTAGTTATGTCTATCAATGTAAATGGTCTTGATTCACTTATTAAAAGAAATAGATTGACATAATGGATCAAGACACAGGCTCCCACAATATGCTATACAAAATAAATACATCTAGCTCAAAGGAAAACATAGAATAAAAA